TCCTCCTGGTCTCCCATGGGGTGCAGGGCCCAAGCACTTGGGCCATCCTCCACTGCACTCCCGGGCCACAGCAGAGAGCTGGACTGGAAGAGCAACCAGGACAGAACCGGAGCCCCAACTGGGACTAGAACCTGGGGTGCCGGCGCCACAGGCGGAGGATTAGCCTAGTGAGCCGCGGCACCAGCCAACACTCTTACGTATGACATCAGTGATCACCCGAGGCTCTTGACATGAGCTGCCTTGGCTATGGAAGCATTTCGAATCCAGAAACTCCGTCAGTATTATTTAGACAAGGCCTTAAGCAAAGTGGAAGTTCTCTCCTCCCTTAAGAGAAAAGTACCTCCTTTCATGACCAATTCTTTCCACTGGGGTCTCACTCACTGAGGCACTGAAGTAACTTTTAGTATTTCATCCATATCAAATTTTTTAAAAAATCTAAATTTGGGATGGCTATTCAACTTTGTTAAACACCTCATTGGCATAATGTCATGATCATATACATTTTTCAGCTCTTATTCTGTGAGAAAATATGTGTACATATCAATACATTTCATTTGACCCATGTCTGCATTTTTTAAAAAACTTTTCCATGTGGTAAGAACATTTAACATTAGACCTACTCTCTTGTCAGATTTTAGTGGGTTTATTCTGATATTATTTGAAAGAGAGACATAGACATCTCCCATGTGCTGGTAGCTCAATTACTTAGCCATCTTCCCTGAATAGGAGGCTGGAATTGGGAGCGAAGCTGGGACTTGAACTCAGGCTAATACTGATGTGAGCATTCCAAGTGGCATCTTAACCACTGCATCAGGTGCCTGCCCCACACCTGCATCCTTGATTAGTTTTTATAAACTACTGGATTTGCTAATAGAAATGTCCCAAGTTTCTGCCATTTGGGTGCCTTCTTTCCTAGTGTCAGTGATATGAAAGGCTTCCTCTCATTTTTTTTTTTTTCAAGATTTAATTATTTATTTGAGAGCCAGTTACACACAGAGAGGAGAGGCAGAGAGAGAGAGAGAGGAGAGAGAGAGAATCTTCCATCTGCTTGTTCACTCCCCAGATGGCCACAACAGCCAGAGCTGCACCAATCCAAGCCAGGAGTCAGGAACTTCTTCCAGGTCTCCTGCATGGGTGCAGGGGCCCAAGGACCTGGGCCATCTTCTACTGCTTTCTCAGGCCATAGCAGAGAGCTGGATCAGAAGAGGAGCAGCCGGGACTTCAACCGGCGTCCATATGGGATGCCAGCACTGCAGGCAGCGGCTTTACCCACTATGCCACAGTGCCGGCCTCCCCATTTTTCATTATTTTGGTCATTTCACTTCTGATCAGACATGGGAACAGCTGTCACTTCTGCAAGTAACCTCATGTTTTTACAGTATTTCAGACTGCTCAGAAGAGGAAGAAATCAGCTGTAATTACACCAGCTTGCTGCGAACAGCTCTTGGTGTTTTGCCACAAATCCGCTTTAGAGTTTGTCAGTCTCCAGTCCCATGACAAACTTCACGAGACCTCAATCTAAGCAGGGCACTGGGGCTCTTGGGACTCTGGGGGATGGCTGCTGTCTAGCAGAGAGCCTTGCTACCTGTCCTTCCTCTTAGCAAGGCTGCCACGTGCAGCTGTGTAACAACTCTGGGCCATGGTCATGGTGCAGTGTCTGGAGGAGGGCACTGGGAGGAAACTGTCAGGACAGCTTCCTGAGAGCAGGTCAGACGATCCCCGGGACCCTTAGCCACTCCTGGCACCAAAAAGGAGCTGTGCTAAGTCAGGCATCTGAGAGCAGCATTTTCATCCATGCCTTTCCTTAATCCTTTTACCAAACCACAAAAAAGGTTACTCCCAATGTTCCCTTCCAAGTACTGTTCTACTTAAAAATAAAAAAGCATCTTAAATTTTTCATCCACTTGAAAGGCAGAGTGAAGAAGGGAAGGAAGGAGGGAGGAGGGGGCGAGGAGACACACGTGCACACACAAAGTATCTTCCATCCATGGGTTCACTCGCCTAACATCCACAACTGCCAAGGCTGCCAGGCCAAAGCCAGGAGCCCAGAACTCCATCAGTTCTCTCACCAGGTGGAAGGCAGATGCAGTTATCATCTGCTGCCTCCCAGGGTGCATTAACAGGAAGCTGGATCCAAAGTGGAGGTGCCAGGACCAGAACCAGCGATCTGAGAGGGGACGCAGGTGTCCCAGCAGTGGCCAAACCTGCTACACAACACTCACACCAATGTTTTATTTCTTAAGCAGAATAATGATGGTTTCAGCGGTGTTCCTTTTATTATGCTGTAAACTTTATGTACATGTTACATATGTTCATGTTGAATGCTTCGATAGAAATGAAAAGTGAAAGCACAGAAATACAAACAGGAATAGGATTATGAATGACCTTGACTCTGCTGAAGTTTGCTTTTAAGTTAACCCATTCACAAACCTCAGGACTGTATCATCAGTCAGCAAACATGTTACAACAACACTCATGTTTTGATGCTAGGGTTAGGAATAACCTTCCTGATACAGAGTACTTGGGAAAAACAGAACAGTAGTAATGCCTTTTTGATCTTTTAAAGATTACTTTATATGCCATAGTTAATTCTTAAAGCTGGTAAAATTCATACTTGCTGTGTTAGTGTGATGGCAGGCTTCTAAGTTCTCTCAGCTGTCTCTAGAATTCAAAGCAGTCACTGAGTAGCAGAAATGTCTTCTAGAATCTATTATATTGAAGTTGGGACATTATTAGCCACGACTCTGAGTAGCATGCAAAAGCCTTCGAAGTTCCTGCTTAGCTAGAAAAGCTGAAATCTGACCTAAGAAATGAAGTTTGGGTATAGGAGATACACAGGGTGTCAACTGCATGCCAGAGACTGCTGGTGGTGACCAACGTCCAATCCTTTTCTTCGTCAGGAATGGAATACTGGCTGTTAGCTGCACCCATGAGTAACAGAAGGCTTATTTCCCACACTCCTTCACTCTGGTGCAACCAAGCAACTAAATGTGGAATGAAGTGTGTGCTGTGGGTAACTTGCAGAAGTGTTCCTAGAGGAGAGGGGGCACGTTCTTTCAACTGGCTCAAATGCGGAAAGGAAGTTGCTAGCTGGGGCACTTGTCTTCAAGCATGGCAAGAAAAGCCACAGTTGGGAGTGAGGAGGAGCAGTGTAGCAGGAAGCCGGGTGCCTGGCCCTGTGCAGGGTCACACCAGCCCTGGACTGCCTTCCCAGACTTTACCCCGTGAGAGAAACAGACTCCTACTCTGCCTAGGTCACTACTGTTGGGGGACACGTAAACTAAAGCATATGCCAGGCGTTAGTCTCATTTCTTTAACCTAAAAGGTGACACATGGCAAGTGACACATGGCTCCTGCTGGCAGAGTCATGTTCTGCTAAGACGATATAAACACAAGAGGTTTCCCACAGTGAACACCGTGTGTCACAAACACGAGTATTTTCAGAGGTGTCTGACTCCACAGATTTGAATTCCCGGTGGTAAGGCCTATACCTTGCATTTCAGGGAAGAGAAAAAAAATTAAAAACAACAAAAAAGTAAAGCTGCCTTTTGACTAGCGTAGGATGCAAAATGACTGACAAAGTCCCTTCCCACAAGAGAACTATAGCAAGCAATTTACACAAAACAAAAATGGCTTGTTTTATTTACAATACTCAAAGCATCTTACAAATAACATATTTGCATTCCCTAAGTCTTTTGGAAAGTAATTCCAGTTTGTGCAATCAGTTTACAGGAAAATCTTAAGACATCTATTAGATATCTTAAAACTAAATTCTAAATTTTGAAAGATAGTTCACACTGTGTTAATAGAGGACTGCTTTTATTTATTTAAGAAAAACTAAACTCTGTTGTTATATATTGCCCTCCAGTATCTTTAACCCAAATACAAACCGGATTCCCCTATGAAGTTATCTTTAGATCTGGGTGAATTACTTTGACCTCCCTTCCCCAATAAAATGCATGCACAAAGTAAACATGGTAAATTACATGAATCACATTTTACTTCAATCCCTTTTTTTTGGACTCTCTCAACTGTTGTTTTGTTTTATTCAATACAGGGCATAAAAAGGTAGGATTCCAGTGTGGAGAAACCCTAAAGCACTACTGCTCCAGAACAGGGCGGGCATTCCCCAAGTATGTGGAAGAAGGCCAGGATTCAGGGGACTTCAGTGGCTTCCTGGCAGGCCTTGCTTACTAATAGGAACCAGGTCCCTCCCCCAGGCCTCACAGAGCCTGGAGGGGCCAGGGAGTCCCCCACTGGCGCTTCTGAGAGCATCAAACCTGTGCCAACACAAGACAACACTCTCCTTTCTCCCCTCCTCCTGGGATCTCCACCTAGATCTCACTGCCTTCCGAGCTGACGGAAAACAGGTGCCCTGTTAGATGTCAGAAACTGCTTCGGTGTTAGGGAAGGGTCACACGAACACCTAAAGAATAAGGACCAACACTTTCTAATTGTCTAAGAGTTTGTATCTCACACATTGGGAAAGAGAATGGGACTAATTTTATCACTCATACAGCTGCCATCTCTTAAAATATAAAATCCATGCCCTGCTTAGTTCTGAGCAGAGAAGGGACAGAGCTACCTCTGTGCTGGATCCACCCCAAGTTCATATGTGCTTCATCTCCACAAACATACAGCTTTCCTTCAAAGATGGTGTTTTTAACACCTGGCACAGGTGGCTGAATGGGGAGATCCTAAGCTGCAGAAATAAAGCCCAATGTTTGACACAGCCACCGGATAAAAGGAATGGTGAGGTAGAGTTGAGAGAGTTCAATTAAACTTCTGATCATCGATCTTTTGGCACATTCTAAAATTATAGACTCCTTATTAAATTCTCTTTTGTGATACCATTCCAAAGTACTGACAACTTAGGAATCCTCACATCTATTTAAGAAACGTCTGTGTAAAGCTACTGGAATAAAGTCCTTTGAAAAAATCCTTTCCTGGCACTTTAGCTATTGTTTTCCCCCGTACTGAAGCAAATAAAAACAATACTATCCATTTGCTGAATTTATTTAAACAAATCGATTTAGAAATACCATAAAATTAAACAAAACCTCCGACATGTAAACATACCGCCATGTTCCTGAAACAGATGTTAACACCTGATAAAAGTTAACCCTTGTGAGGAAAGCCTCTATTAATAAGGCCAGTCTTCAGCAAAACTAAAACCATTCTGTTTCTTTAGCTTTCCTGGTCTGACAATGCAATATCATAAAACCACAATCAAAGACAACGCTGGATGGACAGATCAGTACCATTGGTTACAGCTGTTAAACAGGTTCATTCTTGGCGCCACATAAAAACAAGTAAGCCAATCACATCAAATAAATCATGGCTTTTTTTCTTTATCACAAGTCACTAAGTGATGTTAATTATGGTCCTTGTCAAACACGTTTGGTAAAGGCTATTTACAGTGTACATGGCTGAGCATGCACTATTTATAGTTACAAAGATACCTGCCAGTTTATTACAATAGAATTACACAGTGCCTGAAAATGGTGAAACATCTCACACATCATTTAAATCAATACAATTTCAAGCAGGAAACGTTCCTTATTTGACCACAATTGCAATAATTACATGAAAATTCTTATAAAAACACGAATCCTCTTCAAGAAATTGATGCATATTCTACGTACTACAGGTTAAGGCAGTAAAAAAATGTATTCCTGATAACTGGAGGTCTTGACAATGTCAATTAAAGCTGTCTGACTCTAGTTTTCATTCTCCATCATATACTCAAAGTGTGTGAATGATTTCAATTTTAAAGTCAAAAAATTACTAGCAACTAAGAGTTGATGCTGGAAAGAAAGTAACTGCTAGGGAAAGGAAAAATGTGAGCTGGATTTTGCCTGAAAGTTTTCAAATCATAAACAAGAGCATTATTTGTGAGTCTGAACCTTAAATGTATATAAAAGAAATACATAGTTTACCTTTAATTTAAAATATACTGTACTTTGAACAATTCAAGTAATGCAAGACTATCAAAAATAACTTCATAAGCCATACAAGTGTCAATTGCATTTTCAATGTCTGAATTAAGAATATTTTAAAAATTGTAAACTAAACCATGACAGTTTAGTTAAATAAATGATAAATGACTTTTTATTTGCACTTGTGATTCTTTTAATACAAATTGCTACCAACAAATATGTAAAGATATGGCAGATTATGCATTTGATCAAAGCACTTTGATTTAAGCATAAAATAGATTCAAATGGTGCAAGTTCGTGCATAAGATCCAAAGAGTTGCCTGCTAATTTGAAGGCAATCCTTCTCTAATCAGAATCCGTTATTCCTCAGCTGCAGATGAGATAGGGCACAATCTGTTGTAAACAGGGCACTGTTGTAAAACCAGGATAATATTCTTAAATTAAGATCATTCTCGTTCAATGAAAAGACTTTCCCAAGTGTCTTCCAGCACTGTATGTAGAATATTCTGCTGACCTCTTAATTTCATAAATTAACTTTTCTTTGATTCCATTTTTACGGTGGTTGTGTTCACAGTTTTGTTTTAAAAATTGGTTTAAATTTATATAAAACTCTGTACATGTCCACAAATTATTGCATAAACAGCATAATCTTCAAGACAGTGTTTGCAAACACATGTCCAATACAGGGAGAGAAAAAACATTCACGTTTCCCGTCTGGCTTTTTTCTTCTTTTTTATTTGTTTGGGAGATTCCCAGTTAGTTTCAGACTTGGCTAAAGGAAAAAAGGGGGGAGAGGAATAAGGAAAGAAAGAACAGTTAGGAGGATGGTAAATATTCTTGTGTTTCAATAACATAGAAGTACGAATGCTGAAAAAAATGCTACAAAATTCTCAGACTTCATGTTTAAGTTTTCAAGTCCTAGTTACATATTTTTAAGTTACTCTGTTTGCCACTCTTTTCAAGCCTGATGTATTATTAGGTTTAACCACATAGAGCTACTGATATTCAACCAGCTGCCACCAAGAAAAGCCGCCCTTTAATACTGCTCATTCTAACTACTGAGATAAAACGGAGTAGAAAACAATTTGCATCCAGACTGACAGGCAGGCAGGTGCCAAGTCTGCTCTGTCCCTCACAACTAGTCAGTCAGTTCATGTGATTTCAAGGAGTCCGGCATTCGCAAAGGAAGGAAGGGCTGGACTGTGAAACCATGAACTTCCTAGATCAGAAACTGAACGTTTACACAAGGAACATGTAAACTGTACAATACAAGAAGAAAAAGGTACAAAGGAACCAAAAAGAGGATCACTTACGCTGGGAAGGAGGCACACTATTTTGCTTCATATTTGACTTGGATTTATCTGTCTCTGATAGCATCGGTGGCACTTGGGAAGAGCTCTTGTCTGAATCATTCTTTGATAAGCTAACAGATGGCTCGGTAGAAACAGCAGGTGGAAGAGTCTTGATGGGCTATGTTGAAATAAAGTTATCTCAATTTTTTTTGTGAAAATTTCAAATAAAACTAAATATAGTGATATCAAGAAGTTGTTAACAGCAAGTAAATACTAAGATTTCTAAGATTTATCAGCAGTAACACTGTAACTCACGTCTGCCCTCTAGTGACAAAACCAAATAAAACATTACCTACAATGGGACTGCAGGCTGAGATAAAAATGAAAGCATAAAATCAGAAAAGTCTATCGAGGGGTTGGCGCCGTGGCTCGCTAGGTTAATCCCATATGGGCGCCAGGTTCTAGTCCTGGTTGCTCCTCTTCCAGTCCAGCTCTCTGTTGTGGCCTGGGAAGGCAGTGAAGGATGGCCCAAGTGCTTGGGCCCTGCACCAGCATGGGAGATCAGGAGGAAGCACCTGGCTCCTGGCTTTGGATTGGCACAGCTCCGGCCATAGTGGCCATTTGGGGGGGGCGAACCAATGGGAGGAAGATCTTTCTGTCTCTCTCTCTCTCACTAACTCTGTCAAAAAAAAAAAAAAAAAAAAAAGTCTACTGAATCTTAAATAGGTGAAAATAATGCCATTTTCACGTTCTTTTACATTTGCTTGCTTCATTATAAATGGCATGATTTTATATTTGTCAGAGATTCAATGGTATCATCTACTTCCCATTGAACTCAAACCTTTTTATTTTCTAGGGCTGGTGCTGTGGCTTAGTGGATAAAAACCACTGCCTGTGGTGCTGGCACCCCATATGGGCGCTGGTTTGAGTCCTGGCTGCTTCACTTCCGATCCAGCTTCCTGCTAATGCTCCTGGGAAAGCAGTGGACTATGACTCAAATAATTGGGCCCTTGCACCTATGTGGGGGACCTAGAAGAAGCTCCAGGCTCCTGGCTTTGGATCGGCTCAGCTCCAGCCATTGTAGCCATTTAGAGAGCAAACCAGCAGATGGAAGACCTCTCTCTCAACTCTGCTCTGCCTCTCTGTAACTCTGCCTTTCAAATAAATTGTTTTAAAAAACCCATTTTTTATTTTCATTATTTTTTATTTATTTGAGAGGAAGGGAAGAACGGGGATAGGGAGAGCTTCACCCACTGGATCATGTCCCAAATGACTGCAACAGCCACGGCCGGCCTGGGTTGAAGCTTTCAACCCAGGTCTCTCACGCAGATGGCAGGAGCCTAAGTACTTAGGCCATCACTGCTGCCTCCCACGGTCTGCTTCAGTAGCAAACTGGAGTCAGGAGTCAGAGCTGGGACTGAACCCAGGCACTTTGGTGTGGGACAAGGGTGTCTTATCTGTTAAAGAGTTTTATCCAAGCTGGCAGTGAAATTAGAATGCTCAGGGCAGGACCTAGATTCTTGAGCCTTGCTTCTCCCTAGCCTGGGAGCAGAAAGGAGATAAAACAACTTTAAATTTGCTTCACTGAAGCGATACTTGGAGTGCCTTGAGGGTATGAGATGAGTAGATCATTTCACCCTAGAGCTCTGCTTGTGAGCATGATTCTGCCCACGGAAACCAGGGTGAGACACATTTCTCCTCTTTCAGACTCTATGGGTTCCAGAACAGGAAGCGGGCATAAGAAGAGGAAACAGTGTCAGTCATGGGAATTGCTAGTGTTTCTTTTTGCTATTTCAGGTATCTGAAGCTGTATTTGTGTTGCTCAATTTCTTTATCTTTATGCTCCCTGTATTTTACTTCATATCCTAAAGCTTTATTACCTATTTTTTTTTAAATTTACTTATTTATTTGAAAGGCAGAGTTATAGAGAGGCACAGGCAGACAGAGAGAGAGAGATCTTCCATATGCTGGTTCATTCCCAAAATGGAGGCAACAGCTGGAGCTGGGCTGATCAGAGGCCAGGAGACAGGAGCTTCTGCTGTGGGTGCAGGGGCCCAAGGACTTGGGGCCATCTTCTACTGCTTTCCCAGGCCATAGCAGGGAGCTGGATCAGAAGTGGAGCAGCTGGGACTCGAACCAGAGCATGCCCATATAGGATGCTGGCACTCAGATGGTGGCTTTACCCACTTTGCCACAGCACTGGCCCCTATTACCTATTTTTTAATCTCCTTTCCCCTCTATTTTCTCATTCTCTTTTTTTTCTTTTTAAGACTTTATTTATTTATTTGACAGGTAGAGCTACAGAGAGAGAGAGAGAGACAGAAAGGTCTTCCTTCCGTTGGTTCACTCTCCCAATGGCCACAATGGCCGGAGCTGCGCCGATCCGAAGCCAGGAGCCAGGAGCTTCTTCCAGGTCTCCCACGTGGGATCCGAAGCCAGGAGCCAGGAGCTTCTTCCAGGTCTCCCACGTGGGTGCAGGGGCCCAAGGACTTGGGCCATCTTCCACTGTTATCCTGGGCCACAGGAGAGAGCTGAACTGGAAGAGGAGTAGCCGGGACTAGAACCGGCGCCCATACGGGATGCCGGTGCCACAGGCAGAGGATTAACCTAGTGTGCCATGGCGCTGGCCCCTCTCACTCATTCTTAAAATAGATTTGAAAGGAAGAGTTGGAGAGAGAGAGAGATATGTCTTGCATCCACTGGTTCACTTCCCAAATGGCTGCAATGGTTGGGGGGCAGGGCCAGGCCAAAGCCAGGAGTCAAGAGTTCCTTCCAGGTCTTCCAAGTGGGTGCAGGAAATCAAGTACTTGGGCCATTCTCCATTGCTTTCCCAGGTGCATCAGCAGGGAGCTGGATTGGAAGCAGAGTAGCCAGGACTTGAACCAGTGCCTATACAGGATTCTGGTGCTGCAGATGGCAGCTTAACCTGCTACACCACCGTACCAGCCCCATCACTCATTTGCAATAAATCAGAGAGGGACTCAAACATTCTTTACAAGATGACTTCTGAAAATGATTTAAGCAAAATATCAAAATGTCAAATAACCCCCTTCTACTTACAATGAATCCTATGATACAACTGTATCCTTTTATTTCAAAATTACCTTAGGGAATTAGATAAAATCCAAATAAGCATGATTAAATCACTGTTTTTCATACAAGACTGTTAACAAGCTGTTTCACTAGATGTGTAAACTTCACAAAGGCAAGGCACAAGCATTCTGTCTGTTTTGTTATCTGTTGGATCCCAGCACCTCAAGCAGTGTGGGGCATACAAATGGTTCACAGCATTTTTGGAATAAGAAAATAAATGAATTATGCAACTCTTGTAGATTTTAATATATTTTAATACAATATTTACTCAAAAGATTTTGATTTCTTCAGGGCATTGGCCTAGACCTTTTATAAAATAGTCCATGTAACCGTCATTATTTTTCACAGAAGGCACATAATTCAAAAACATGTCACCAGGACTAGTGTTGTGTCGTGGTGGGTAAAGCCACTGCCTGCGACGCCTGCATCCCATATAGGTGCTGGTTTGTTTCCCAGCTGCTCCACTTCTGATCCAGTGTACTGCTAATGGGCTCAGAAAAACGGGAAGATGGCCCCAAGTGTTTGGGCCCCTGCACCCACATGGAAGACCCAGAAGAAGCTCCTGGTTCCTATCTTTGCCCTGGTCCAGCCAGGGCTGTTGGGGTCATCTGGGGAGTGAACCAGCGGATGGAAAATCTCTGTCCTTCCCTCTTTCTTTGTTACTCCTTCAAATAATAAATAATTCTCAAAAAAAAAAAAAAAAAAAGGTTACCAAATTTTAAACAAATGTTACTTTCTGGAGGATGAACCTGTCCTATTATGAACAGGCTTTGGGAAAAATACAACAATTTACATTTTTTCTAAGCTATCTGTCCTTTACATGTACAGATATTTAGAAGAAGAAAATACAACATAGTATATGATACAGTACAGTAGTCCCCCATTCTTTGTGGGGGACACATTCCATAGGCTCCAGTGGATGTCTGAAACAGTAGATGGTACCACTAAGCTTTTTCCAATTTATTCATTCTCTAGATCTTAGCAATCTCAGCATATTGTTTTCTTTCCTTAACTCAAGAACTTTCACCTTTTCATTTAAGTAAGCACTTTATAGCTTCCCTTTGGTAGGTCTAAATTGCCAGCATCACTACTCTCGTTCTATGGGGCCATCATTAGCTAAGGACTACCTGAACACAAGCACTGTGATATGCTGACATTCAGCTGATACCAGGAGGCGCTAAGTGATTAACAGGGCATTGGTACTTGCAATGTGGATATGCTGGACAAAGGGATGAGAGTGACTGTCCCTGGAGGGATGGGATGGGATGGATGGGATGAGTATTCCTCAGACTACCCCAGAATCATGCTCCAATTTAAACTTATGAAGTGTTTATTTCTGAAATTCTCCAACTAGTATTTTTGAACTTTAGTCAATCACAGGTAACTGAAATGGCAGAAAGCATAATGGTGGGTAAAGGAGGACACTCCCATATAGTGGCTTTGAGTTTACTGCTGGTAACATGACCTTGGGCAAGTTACTCCACTTCTCTTGCTTTATTTACATAATGGGTCCTATCTTTCTCTTGGGGATGTTTTATAGACTAAATTAGCGTATTTAAAATGTTTAGCACAGTGCTTTGATAAAATACTAGTTAAGATACAATTCTCAAGTCAACAAAACTTTATTTCCAAGAATTACCTGACTATTTTTGACGAGTACTTCAGGTGGATCACTAGTGCTTACGGTCTTCGAGGAAAAAACCTTTTCCTGTTTTGGACGGGATTTAGAGGTATTCACTGGAAGCTCTTCTCTAATTTCTTTTTCTAATTCTTCTGTGTCCTACACACAAAAGTATTAGATAATATGAATTATTTGCTTTAGTAACTAAAATCTATTACTGTCGCTCCCCCTCTTCGCGGAGGAACGACACAGGACCCTGCGTTGTTCTTTTGTCTGCTCGGCCCTTCCCGGGTTTGCTGCTGGTTCTTCCCGGGTTGGCTGCCGTCCCTCCACCTCCGTGGAGGGGCGGGCCCCCTGCCACTTTCCCCACTTCCGCGGGGGAGTGGCACACCGCCGGCCGGCTTTCTCGGGGGTTGCTCAGATGTTATCCGGATGTCCCCCTTAGATGTTCCTGGTGCATGTTGTCTCTCTCCTCCTTTATAGTCCTCTTCCACCAATCCCAACTCTGCTACCCAGATGCCGAGTACGCTGCTCTCCTCCAATCAGGAGCAGGATCAGCTCCTGCAGGTTATTGGTCGAACTGGAGGCAGCTGTGTAAAAGCTGTTTACTCCTCTCCCAGCGCCATATTGTGGGAGAGCAGATGCATAGAATAAGGCTTAATTCCAGTAACTTAGTCTAGTCCGAGTTGCTCCCCACATATTACTGCCCCAAGGAAATAACTGCATTTTACAAACTGTCCAAACAAGTTAAAAAGCATATAAAATAACAAAATAATTACTCAAAATATTTATAATATATATATGTACATTGGAATACACATTCATTATTCCATGCTTTCCCCAGAGTTAAAATGTCAATTAAAAAATATATGGGGCACATATTGTGGAGAGGCAGGTAAAGCCACTGCCTGTGACGTCAGCATCCAATATGGGCACCAGTTCAGGTCCTGGATGCTCCACTTCTGAGCCTGCTCCCTGCTAATGCTCCTGGGAAAGCAGTGGAAGATGGCCCAAGTGCTTGGGGCCATACCACCCACATGGGCGACCCAGATGAAGCTCCTGGCCCAGTGCTGGCTGTAGTAGCCATCTGGGGAGTGAACCAGAAGTCGGAAAGTCTACCTCTCCCTTTCTTTGTAACTCTAAAAATAAAAACACACACACCAAAATGGGAACTGTTTTAATTTAAACAGACCAACTCAAACAGAATAAACTAAGCTGGTATATTTTCTGTTAAAAACAAAAGTATACAATGAGGGGTGGATATCTGGTACAGTGCTTGAGGCACCACTTGTGAGGCCTGCATCCCATACTGCAGTGCCTGGGCTGGAGGCAGCAGGTCAATGATTCAAGTAGTTGGGCTCCTGCTACCTATGTGGGAGACCCAGATTGTGTTCCAGGATCCTGGTTTCAGCCTGGCCCACACCTGGTTATTACGGGCATTCGGAGAGTGAATCAGAAGATGGAAGCCTCTGTTTCTCTTTTTGTAACTCTCTTGCATGTGCTGTCTTTCAAATAAATAATCTTTTAAAAAGCACATAATGAACTAGTCATGTTTGAACTGAGATTTTAAAAAAAAAGCATTTCACTAAGTGACTTCTTCAAGGAATGAAATATTTCTATGTAAGTGAAACTTCTAGATAGACTGAGTTTACACAGTAGAAAGGATATAGACAGGAAATTCCAATTTTAGCCCTGCCACAGTTTAGCTATTTTCAGGGACAAATCAGTTATTCTGAGCCTCAGTTTCTTCAACTACAAAATAAAATTTGTCTATATGATTTCTAAGGTACTATCAAAGCGTCAACACTTCCATTCTTAGTCTTATAGAATTTTAAGTAGTGTTAAGCACTTGAGTCATCATTTGCTGCTTTCCTAGGAGCATTAGCAGGCAGCTGGATCAGAGGTGGAACAGCCAGGACACAAATTGGTGCCTGTATGGGAAGCTGGTGTTGCAGGCAGTGGCTTAACCTGCTGTGCCACAAAGCTGACCCCAGAAAATTTCAACAAAGTAATTCTAAAGCACATTATATGCATGTATGTGAAAAATAAACACCACTGTGAAATGAACTATTCTTCAGCAAACACATACATTTAAATGGCTGTAGTTCTTTTCTTTCTTTCTTCTTCTTTTTAAAGATTTATTTGGGGGCTGGCGCTGGCTGTGGTGCAGTGGGTTAACGCCCTGGCCTGAAGCGCTGGCATCCCATATGGACGTCGGTTCGAGACCCGGCTGCTCCACTTCCTGTCTAGCTCTCTGCTATGGCCTGGGATAGCAGTAGAAGATGGTCCAAGTCCTTGGGCACCTGTACCCGCGTGGGAGACTGGGAGGAGGCTCCTGGATCCTGGCTTCGGATCAGTGCAGCTCCGGCCGTTGCGGCCATCTAGGGAGTGAACCGTCAGATGGAAGACCTCTCTCTCTGCCTCTCCTCTCTCTGTGTAACTCTGACTTTCAAATAAATAAATAAATCTTTAAAAAAATAAAATAAATATATAAATAAAAGTTTTGAAAGGCAGAGGCAGAGAGAGAGAGAGACAGAAAGTCTTCCACCTGCTGGTTCATTCCCCAGATGGCCCCAATGGCTGGAGCTGCGCAGATCTGAAGCCAGGAGCTTTTTCCAGGTCTCCCACACAGGTGCAGGTGCCCAAGGACTTGGGCCATCTTCTACTGCTTTCTCAGGATACAGCAGAGAGCCAGATTAGAAGTGGAGCAGCTGGGACTCAAACTGGTGCCATATAGGATGCTGGCACTACAGGAGGTAGCTTTATCCACTACGCCAGAGCGGTGGCCCGTTTTTCTTTTCAACTACCGGCTAAGATGATCTTAGAAGTTTCTTTTCGAGAGGCACCAAGATGGCAGAATAGGGAGGAAGCTTACTGTTCTAGTCCAGGGTAAGATAGTAAAAAAAAAACATGGACAGAGTGCAGTGTCAGGGAAGAGTTTGGGAGAAAATGGCTGAGCAAACTCCATGAAAATTAGAGGGACACTGTGGATCTACATGAAGGGTGTGGACGCGCTCAACTGAGGACCCCAGCAGCCGAGAGCCTCAGCTCCAGCTTTGGAGTGAGGTGAGACCAGACTGCAGCACCCCAAGCCACTGGCAACAAAGCTGCAGAAGAGCCTGGAATGAGCTCTGGCTTGGAGCCCTGTGGGGTTAGTATACTTGCCAACATAAAGGAAAAATAAAGGAGGCACGCTTCTCTTTCCCCTGACCCCCCAGCACCAGTGTCCTGTAACTAGCTGAGTGGGCAGGCGCCATTTTGGACATATATAACAGCTGCGCCAGCTTGTGTCTGTACCCAGCAACCAGCTGAGAGGAGACGCCTGAGGCAGGCTGGGAGAACTGACAGGGAGCTCTGTGCTCATGACTGTGGGAGCTTTGCGTGCTAGGACTGTGAAAACACTGTGGCTGCATGTAAGGGCACAGGGCTCCTTGATTCCCTGGGGAGGGTCACTGCCACCGAGGACTGCACGGATCCTTTGCATGGTTTTTGTGGTAGCGTGGATGAATGTTGTACCCACTGGGGCTAGGACTCAGGCATTGGTCTCCTTGGAGGAGAGGCAGTAAGCATGAGACTACGCCAACAGAGCTGAACAAACCTCCCCTCTGTTAAAAAAAAAAAAAAAAAAAAAAAAAAAAAAAAAAGATTTATCATGCCCAATTTGAGAGTCACCTTGGACACTCCCCTCACCCTGGAGCACTGACCAGAGCTCCCTGGCCACACCCAGCACACATCTCAGGGTATTCACTGAATGAACAGACACTCCACTAGGCCATCACAGGCAAAAAAAATAAACCAACAAGTATCTCTACAAATGCCTGAAAATAAATGCAGCAATTCAAGAAACAAGAATAAGGAACATGACGTCCCCAAAGGAATACAACACTTAATACTAGAATGTGAAAATGAAGAGACTGAAGGAATGCTAGAAATGGAATTCAAATATTGATCGTAGGATTCCTTAGACGTAATCAGAAGTGAATCCACAAACTAAAGAAATCCATACATGAAATTAAAGAAAATTTTTCTTATGAAATTGAGATTTTTTTTTAAACTTTTATTTAATGAATATAAATTTCCAAAGTACGATTTATATAATCAAGAATGCATTTGAAATATCTGGGATTTTATTTATTTTTGGATTTTAGCTATACTTTTGATGAGGTTTTAGAGCAATAAACTTTTAATTACAATATGCTATACTGCTTAAAATAGATTGCAATTTTTCAAATGTTTTCAACTTTGATGTCTTATATCTCTCTCATTTCTCTCATCTGTGCCCCTCATCTCTAACAACAGTACATCATTTTTTCACAATATCAGCAGTAGGTAAGTAACAAATGTTTGCTGTTTCTATATGTTACCTGTGCAAGAGAGTTATCTTCACCTTGCTTCTTCTTTTTCTTTTTTTTCTTTTTAGATTTTCCGCTTGGAAGAGCTCCCTCTCCCTTTTCTTTATCATCATCTGAAATCTGTGTAAAGCAAAAATTTAAAGTGAATCATGCTGTTTCCATTATTCAGAATTTATGAATTAAAATTTTATACATTAGATTCAGTCTTTATCCCCTAAAATGTAAATAAGAATAATAAGTAATAAAACCTGATCAAAACTTACTTACATATTAAAAAAAAACAATGAAGGAGCCAACATTGTGGTACAGCAGGTTAAGCCATCTTATACAATGCCAGCATCCCATGGGAGTTCTGGTTCTAGTCCTGGCTGCTCTACTTCTGATCTAGCACCCTGCTAACGCACCTGGGATCACAACAAAAGATGGCCTAAGTATTTGGGCCAAGGCCACCCACATGAGATACCTGGATGGAATTCCAGGCTCCTGGTTTTGGCCTGGCCCAGCCCCAGCAATCAAAGCCATTTGGGGAGTGAACCAGTGATGGAAGATCTTTCTTTGTCTCTCTCAAAGCCTCCACTTGCAGTGCCAGAATCCCATATAGGTGCTGGTTCTAGTCTCAGTTGCTCCTCTTCTGATCCAGCTCTCCGCTATGGCCAGGGAAAGCAGTAGAAGATGGCTCAAGCGCTTGGGCCCCTGGACCCACATGGGAGACCCAGAAGAAGCTCCTGGCTCCTGCCTTCAGATCGGCTCAGCTCCAGCTGTTGTGGCTATCTGGGAAGTGAACCAGTGGATGGAAGATCTTTCTGTATCTCCCTCTTTCTGTAACTCTACCTCTCAAATAAATAAATACAATCTTTAAAAACAAAGACAATTAGACAGCTATGCAAATCTCAATTCTAAAAATTCACTGGATAACTAATTCTGTTTTATTTTGGAGTTCCAATGCAGAGCTACTACCATTAAAATATAATTTGATCCTGTTAAGAGAATGAAATGACAAGTTATAGGGTGGAAGAAAATATCTGCAAATCGTAACAGTTCCCACAAAGAACTACTATCTAGACTACATAAACAACACTCAAAATCAGCAGTACAAAAGAATACAATTAGAAAACACACATAAGACATGAAGAGACATTTCACCAAGAATATATACAGACAGCAAAGAAACATATGGGAAGACGTGCAAGACCACTAGCCATGAGGTAAATGAAAGTTAAAACTGCAATGTGTTACCCTTATACACCTGATAGAATGGGTTAAACAAAAAAACAATGACAACTGCACATACTGGTTAGGATGCAGAAGAACCAGATCACACAAATATCAAGCAATACAGTCACTTTATGAAACAGCTTGCATGTTTCTTGAAATTTTAAATATACAATTGCCACACTATTCAGTGATTCACTCCTGGGTATTTGTTTTCAATGTGTTTAGAAGCCTTATTTTATAATAGCAAAAAACTGGAAACAACCTAAATGTCTTTCAATAGAATTAAGAACATGCAAACTGAGGTATACCCAGGCAATGGAGTTATCTATCACTCAAAAGGTTCACATTAGGGATATACACAACAGATTGGATCTCCAGAGAATTCTCCTGTGATCAAAACAAACAAACAAAAAGCAACAACAAAAAACCACGATACCAAAAGGTTATATCATACAATTCTATTAATATAACAGTTCTGATATGGAAAAATTAAGAGGTAGGGAATAGAATCCTGGCTGCTGGGACTCTGGAAGGGATGAAGATCAGAGGGAAGAACGTGCAGCCCTGGAAGGTAACATGAGGGGCTGGGGGGCTGGTGCTATGGTGTATTGGACTGACACTGTTTGTGATGCCAGTATCCTTTATCTGAAGGCTAGTTTGAGTACTGGTTGCTCAACTTTTTTTTTTTTTTTTTTAAAGATTTATTTTCTGAAAGGCAGAGTTACAGAGAGAGAGGTCTTCTATCCACTAGTGTACTCCCCAGATGGCTGCAGCAGCTGGAACTGTGCTGATCTGAAGCCAGGAGCCAGGAGCCAATGGCCTGGAAAAGCAGTAGAAGATGGCCCAGGTCCCTGGGCCCCTGTACCCATGTGGGAGACCTGGAAGAAGCTCCTGGCTTTGGCTTGGCTCAGCTCTGGCTGTTGCAGCCATTTGGGGAGTGAACCAGCAGAGGGAAGACCTCTTTCTCATTCTTTCTCTCTGTAATTCTGTCAAATAAATAAAATAAATCTTTAAGAAAAAAACTTTAAGACAAGGGGTACTATGAGACATTATTGTGATGGAAACATTCTGTATCTTTTTTTATTTGAAAGGCAGAGTTATATACAGAAGTGAGGGGTAGTGGAGAGGGACAGAGAGAAAGAGAAAATGAATCTATCTATTAGTTTACTACCCAAATGGTTGTTAACAGCTGGGCCTGGACAAGGCTGAAGCCAGTAGTAAGGAACTCCATAAAGGTCTCCCATGTGGGTTGCAGAGGGGTCCAAGCAGTTGGACCAGGACCACCTTCCACGAGACTTTAGCAGGGAGGTAAATCAGAACTGGGGCAGCTGGGACTCGAACCCCACTCATATAGGATGCTGGTGTCCCAGGCAGCAGCTTAACCCACTGTGCCACAATGCTGGCCCCTGCATCCTGCATCTCGACTGCATTGGTGCTAACATCTGAATTGTGATTTTGTACTATGGTTTTTCAATATGTTACCATTGCTGGAACTGGGTAAACAGTAGAGGAGATTGCTCTGCATTACTTCTTACAACTGCGTATAAATCTATAATTATTTCAAAATAAACGGCTTAGTTAAAATTGAATGTGGGGGGCTGGCATTGTAGCACAGTGGGATAAGCTGCTATCTGTGATGCCAGTATTCCATGTGGACACTGGTTCAAGTCCCAGCTACTCCACTTCTGATCCAGCTCTCTGCTATGGCCTGGGAAAGAAGTGGAAGATGGCCCAAGTCCCTGGGTCCCTGCACCCATATGGGAGACCTGGAAGAAGCTCCTGGCTCCTGATTGGCCCAGCTCTGGCTGTTGCAGCTATTTGAGGAATGAATCAGCGGATGGAAGAACTCTCTCTCTCTGACTCTGCCTCTCTGTAAATCTTTCAAGTAAAAAAAAAAAAAAAAAAAAAAGAATTTGAGAAGGAACGTTACTGAAAGTAACCTGCATGCCAAAAATATGTCAAATTAGGACTATTAATATAATAAGTGCTCACAATGATTCCTTTTCACATATACTAGGTAGTTGAACTATTTTTTTTTTAAATTTATTTGACAGGTAGAGTTATAGACAGTGAGAGAGAGAGAGACAGAGAGAAAGGTCTTCCTTCCACTGGTTTACTCCCCAAATGGCCGCTATGGCCGGCGCTGCGCCGATCCAAAGCCAAGAGCCGGGTGCTTCTTCCTGGTCTCCCATGCGGGCGCAGCCATCCTCCACTGCCCTCCCGGGCCACAGCAGAGAGCTGGACTGGAAGAGGAGCAACCGGGAATAGAACCCGGCGCCCACATGGGATGCTGGCGCCGCAGGTGGAGGATTAACCAAGTGAGCCACAGTGCCGGCCCGGTAGTTGAACTATTTTAAGATTTATTTATTTGAAAGGCAGAGCTAGAGAGAGAGAGAGAGAGAGAGAGAGACAGACAGACAGAGAAAGAGAGGGAAGGAGAGACAGAGAGAACTTCCACCTGCTGGTTCACCTTCCAAATGGCTATAATAGCTAGAGGTGGGTTGATCAGAAGCCAGGTGCCCCATCCAGGTCTCCCACATGGGTGCAGATTCAAGCACTCGAGCTATCCACCATTGATTTCTCAGGCACATTAGCAGGGAGCTGGACTGGAAGTGGAGTAGCCAGGACTCGAACTGGTGCCCATATGGGATGTCAGCGCTGCAGATGGTGGCTTAATCTGCTGTGCCACAGTGTCAGCCTCTATAGTTTAACTTTCTATGGAAAAGTGCTATTTCTTTACTCTCAGAGGTGACAACTTAGATTCCTAGATTACCTTACTGGAAGAGATGTCATGGTTAATTGCTATTTCTCTGCTAGCATCAATAGCAATTATGTTGAGATTTCGATGATCTCATGAACAATCAAATAGCTTTACAGAAGTTGATAGCAGATGGGAAAAAAAAAAAAAACCAACAAAAGTGGGCACAACAGGCAGGGGTTTGGCCTAACAGTTCTAAGATACTCATGTCCCACACTGGAGCATGCAGGTTTGATTCTTGGCTCTGGCTCCTGGCAGTGGTGATGGTCCATGTGATTGAGTTCCTGCCATCCGACCTGAAAAGAATTCGTAGCTTCCTGCTTTGGTCTGGAGGATCATCATGGACATTTATGGAATGAACCAGCAGATAGGAGCTATGTCTCTGTCTCTTAAAAAAAGAAAACAAAAACAAAAAACAAAACCTGGCCCTAACTTGGCTAAGCAATTTTAGTTGGCTGGCATTGGTGGAGAGAAGTATTCACAGATGAAACCCCCACATGAATATATGCATCCTATTAAGGATACTCAGGTCACAAGGACTTTCTTTGGTTTTCTTCTGAGTCTATTAGAATCCAACCAAACAAGAAATGTAGTTCTCCACAGCAAAATAGTATTTTTGTTAATGGCAAGAAGGCGGAAAACAACCTTGTATCAACCTTTTAACTCATATAAGAATTAATACTTTGACAACTTTATTTTTGGTTTTGTAAAAAATTTATTTTTCCATTCCCCAACTGATGGGTATTTAGATGGCATCCTGATTTCTGAATATATTTAGAAAAATAATTGCTATGATGTGTGATAAAGACTTTTCTTCTTTGAAAAGATTTATCTATTTATTTGAAAGAGTTAAAGAGCTCTCCAACCACGGGTTCACTCCCCAACAATGGCAAAGGGTGGGCCAGGCTGAAGCCAGGAGCTTCACCCAGATCTACCATATGGGTGTCAAGAGCCCAAGTATTTGGGCCATCCTCTGCTGCCTTCCCAGGTGTGTTAGCAGAAAGTTCGACTGGCAGCAGACAAGTTGGGTTTGGAACTGGCACTGTGATACAGCCAGTGGCTTAAGCCACTGTAACACAACATAGGCCTCATAAAATCTTTACTACATTCACTGGTTCAGTTTGATTTTGGTGATCCGGCCCATTGGAGAAGCGAAGTTCCAGTGGAGAAATAAAGACTTTTGGTTGTATATTTACTAAATGTTCAACAGCTATTTGAATGATAGTTGTGTGCTAAGGGGCTGTACTAGGAAATTTGCATAGGCCCAATCTAAAACCTTTTTCCCTTTTCAATTTTCACATGCCCTGTCAACTGTCTCTCTCTATATTTATTTATCTGTTCTCCTTGTACCTCTCCCTTTCCCTGGTCTCCAAAGCTGAGAGGTATTCTATGCTACTGAAGGTTCAACTTCTACTTGTGCCTTTGGCTTCCTTACCCCCAATACTGACTGTCTCTTCAAGAACATCACTCTCTTAGTCAATCTTCTCTCATTTATAATCAACATTTTCCTTTGGATTCTTTCCTTTCTCTACAGATATACTAAAGCAGATGCTGACAAATTACTAATTCTGGCTAATGTCAATTTTTAGAAATAAAGTTCATTTCTGTATCACCAATGGCTGCATGTAGCACAGTTAAGCAGCTGCATCAGACTGTGTGGCTTTTTCAAAGTCTGCTGTATCTGCACTAAAATCTCTCTTATCATAACATCACAAACAACCCCCCTCAACAAAACCCTTCCTGATAGCACATGCTGTCATCTGCTACTTCTCCATTCCATCTAGACTTACTTGCTATGACTACTTTTTTTTATGTTTTTTTTTTTTTTTTTAAAGATTTATTTGAAAGGCAGAGAGAGAGAGAGGTCTTCCATCTGATGGTTCACCCCCCAGATGGCCACAATGGCCAGAGCTGCGCTGATCAGAAGCCAGGAGCCAGGAGTTTCTTCTGGGTCTCCCACATCGGTGCTGGGGCACAAGGACTTGAGACATCTTGTACTGCATTCCCAGGCCATAGCAGAGAACTGGATTGAAGTGGAGCAGCTGGGACTTGAACTGGCACCCATATGGGATGTTGGCACTGCGGGTAGTGACTTTACCTGCTACGCCACAGGGCCGGCCCCTACTTTTTTATTTATTTGTGTTTGTGTAAAAGGCAGTTAGAGAGAGAGGGAGAGGGAAGTAGAGAGAAAATCTTCCATCCATTGGTTCACTCCCCAAATGGCCACAATGGCTGGAGCTGGGCCAATCTGAAGCCAGGAACCAGGAGCCTCCTGGTGCACTTGGGCCATCTTTCCCTGCTTCCCAAGCACACTGGCAGGGGGCTGGATTGGAAGTGGAGTAGCTGGAACTGGAACTGGTGCCCACAGGGGATGCAGGCATAGCACTGGCCCCTATGGTTATTTTTTATTCCTTATTCACTCAGCTCACTGCAATACGGCTTCTAACTGTTCTAACATACCAGAAAGCAAATCCAGTGCTATTTTTCAAGCCTAATGTTACTAGTTTTGCTCTGCAGGTCCTGATGCTGTTGATCACTGTCTCCTTCTTGACAAGCTCATCGGCCTCAGCTTCTGTGATCCAGAACTCTCCTCCCTTAGTCTCTTTCATTAACAAATAAACAACTACCAAGCCCTTCCACTCACTCACCTTTTGATCATCAGGAATTGATTCTTGAGACTTCAGAAGTGAAGCTCTTTCTTCATCTACCCAGTTCCCCCATTCTTCTGCTGGTGCATTCCAATCAGAGCTGGGATCAGCAGAAGACAGACCATCTAAAATTTAACAGTGCTGATTAGGTATCTATCATTTCTGCCATAATCTAAAATGTAAAAACTAAAAATTCCTTATATTAAACTAAGCTGTGATTTTAAACTTTTGTTCTTTCTCCCAAACATTATAGCGCTAAAAAAAAAAAAGAGCCAAAAATATGATGGTAACAACCTTTCTCCAAATTCTCCTGGGCTATATGTTTGGTTGTATGGAATTAATATACTCCAGTAAATTTATTAATGAACCATTTAATTTCACTCTCCCTGTTCTTTATCAGTTTCCTGAATTTGCATTCCTTTCCCTGTCCATCTGCTACTTTGCCCTGATCATCACATTGTTGTAACTGATTTATTTTATAGGTTATGGAACATAATCACCAATATTATACTCCCCTGTCATTTCACATCTCCTCCCATCTATAAGCTTTTCAAGATTAGGTTCTTCAAATTCACCAGGTCGTGACAGAAAAACAACTTCTTCTTTTCTTTTAATATGTAACCTGTACAGATTATTTCAGGCTCTTTTTATCTGAACATCCCAAAGTATTTGAATCACTTTCAGAGCATCAGTCATACTAATCTTTAAAATACATTTTATTCTAGATTTCCTCTAGGAGGTACTTTTGTTTTTTATAAAAGATGACAGAGCCTGGGCTTTATTTTCAAATGGTAAACATGCTGTTCTAACATTGCTTGGCTGAAAATTCCAACCATTTCCCATTAATACCTAATGCTACTATTGTCTAATATTAAAATTATTTCATAGGCGCTTCAGTCTGTTTCTGAAATTTCTATTCCACTGATCAATTCCTGGGATAGTGCTACACATAATTTAACTCTGTAATACATGTTGGTATCTAGAACAGGGGTGGGGAACGTCTAGCCCCAGGCCATGTAAGGGCTGTGAAATCATTTCGTCTGCTCTGTCAAGACAAAGGGATTTGAAATTCAATAACCCTAAAAACAGGCTAATTTTTCAGCTGATCATTTTGTATGGCCTGCAAATAATGTTATAAATATCCAAATGGCCCTTGGTAGAAAAAAGGTTCCCCATGCCTGGTAAATCTGTTTGCATTACTTTTTTTTTTAGTTATTCATTTTCCATGTGAACTCTATTATTTTTGTTAAAAGGGGCAGTATTATGATATAGCCTCATAAAGACTTCAACATTCATGTTTTGGAATAATATATAATGACGTGGGAAAATACACAAAATTGCATGATATAATCCTGTATCATGAAGAAAATAATCAATATATTTTTAATAGTGGAATTACAGGAATTTTGTTTGTTATTAAACACTATGTACTAGAACACACATACACACAGATAAAAGTATTTATTTATCTGAAAGGCAGAGTTACAGAGAGAGACACAGAGAATCTTCCCTGCACTGATTCACTCCCCAGATGATACAATGGCTAGAACTGGGTCTAGAGAGAAGCCTGAAACATCTACTTTCTCAGACACATTAGCAGGGAGCTGGATCAGAACTGGAACAGCCTGGGCTTGACCTGGCACTTAAATGGGATACCAGCTTACTTGGCTGCACCACAATGTTGGTCCCCATTGGGCTGTACAAAGCCCATGAAATCATCTATTCTGGCCCTGCCAAGATACTTGTAGGTGGGACTCGAAATTCAATAAATCTTCAGCAATTTTTAAGTTGATAATTTTGTATGGCCTGTGAATGATGCTATAAATATCCAAAAGGCCCTTGGCAGAAATAAGGTTTTATATCCCTGTAGGGCGTGGCTAAAGACGAAAGACAGAAGGGGCTGTGGAAACAGAAAAGCTCAATCAATAGATGATAGGAGGATGAAGATTAAGCCAAGAATCTACAGTCTAGTAAAGGGAGGCAGCAGTGATAGCTCAAGTGGCAGACCTGGGTTGGGTTCTTGACTTGCAGCTTCAGATTGGTCTACCTCAGTCACTGTGGATATTCGTGGAGCAAACTAGTGAATGGGGGCTCTGTCTCTCAAAACCATAGAAAGGAGGGTTCTTTTTTTTGGGGGGGGAAAAGGGCTTAAGTGGCCTTAAAGTTTGGGGAACAAATATGACCTATGGCTTAGTACCTGTTAGAACACTAACAGAAGCATAAATCTCTAGTGACTTTATAGAAGTCTCATGGTGATTTTTCTATGTTTATTGATTTAGATTGTTTTTTCTTTTAATTAACTGGAACAAATAAAACAACTTTAAAACAGATCAATCAACCTAAACTTGCAAATCTTCACCAGGAGATTGTTCAATGAATAACTCTTAAGATTCATGGGTCTATTGTGCTAATAAACATTCTTAACCACAGTTTCCTTGAAAATGATACACAGTACCTAGTCTTTTCCATATTTAAATAGTTATTTCTCATATCAAAATTCTTCTATGGGAGCTGGTGATATGGTGTAGTAGGTTAAGCCTCCACCTTGGGCACCGGTTCGAGTCCCAGCTGCTCCACTTCTGATCCAGCTCCCTGCTAATGGCCTGGGAAAACAGTGGAAATGGCCCAAGTGCCTGGGGCCCTGCAGCCACGTGGGAGACACAGAAGCTTCTGGCTCCTGGCTTTGGATGGTCCTGGCTCTGGCCATTGTGGACATGTGGGGAGTCAACCAGCAGATGGAAGATCTTTCTCTCTGTCTCTCCCTCTCTATGTAACTCTGCCTCTGAAATAAATAGATCAATCTTTGAAAAAAAAAAAATTCTTCTATGAGTATATCAAATGCCTTCTCAAAAAGCCATTTTTTTTTTTTCAAAAAGGTAAGTAGAATAATGTTTGAGGTTTAAGCATATCATCGCTAGTCTATATTTGGTGTTCATCTACTTCTGTTAAAACTTAAAGCAACATTAGTTTTAATAAAACAAAATAATGTTAGAAAAACATTCTCCAGTGTTTAAACAGACAACATTAATTAACCCTACTGAGAAGATTATTAATTTTGCTACTCAAAGAACACTGTCAACAACAGCAACAGCAACACTGAGTAAATATTTACTATGTATAAAGTAGTGTTCTACGTGCTTTGTAAATATTAACTCATTCAATCCTCTCAAAAACTCTATGGAAAGGAATTATTATTTTTATGGACAAAAAAACAGAGGCATAGAATAGTCATGTAACTTGCATAATGGCAAAGGCCAGGATGCTAAGATTGAAATCCATGTAGCCCACCCTCTCTTAACCATTTCACTAGGAAATAGCCAATTAACTCACTCCTGCATGCCAAGAAAAATTTGATTCTTCATAGAGGTTATAATGAAGTTGCTCCTTTACGGCCATCACTTCAAGCCACAGGTACATTAATATGTTACTCATCTCAATGTAAATGTAAAGCTAAACTTTGTGGCTTAATCCCAAACACTAAATCATGTATTCTACAAATTCAAAATAATAATTAAATTCACTGACCACCAAAAAGTACCCATTAAAAATAGTAATATAAAACATAAAATATGCAGAGAAAATGAGGTTAAAGAGAAACTTTAGTCTTAAAGGAATGCTAATACAGCAAAACAAAGTTGAGAAAGATAGTGTTCCTATCCATAATGCTTTAGGGCCAGAATACTGTGGAAAATCTTTTATTTTTAAAAATCTTTTATCAGGTTTTTCATATTCAAAGAATTCCAATATGTGTAAGATAAAAGTACAGCTATCGGTCCAAGAAGGGAAAGCTGCAACCTTGTTTGCTGTTTCTCTCAGCTTCAACTCATGGCAGCCCAGGATACCTTATTGTTAGCTATTCTCCTATAATCACTCCTCTTATTCCTAAATGACTCCTCAATTCTATTTTTTCACAGAGTTGATTATTCTTTCACAGCATAGGCTATGTTCTTAGAAAAATGTTGCTTTCATATCTTTGTAATACCTTAGATTTTAAGCTATGTTGTCATTTACAAAGAATTTCCTGTTCATACACCACCACATTAAAACCTCACAAACACCTACGGCATTACATGTGACAGATTATCCACTCCATTTTACACCTCCATCAATGCAGATTCCAAGATCAGTGACAAAGTCCAAGACACATGCAGTGCTACCCTTTAGAGACAGGACAGAAACAGATCTATGTTTCAAACTTCCCTAGTCTTTGGCCAGCAATGGAAGGCATTTCATAATATGCCCTCCTCTCCCCCACCCACCCCTGTCCCAATCGACCTTTCCAGACTTTTCTCCCTCACTCTGCAAGAACTGTGCTTCAACTACAGTGTCACATGCTTACCTCATGATTGCTATCATCACCAAAGCTGTACCAGGTAAGGGTTAAAAGCATGAAGCCTGAACCAGACAGCAAGGTTTGAATCCACCTTCTTCATTTCTAGCTGTGTGGCCTGGGGAATGTTAGGTAACCTTTCTTTGCGTCAGTTTCTTTATGGGAAAAGTATGCAAAGAAATACCTACCACAAATTGTTATAAGCATTAAATGAGTTAATAATTTGCAAATGACTTTACACCAGTGTCTGGCACACACAGCCTACTATTTTCTTTTATTATCATTAACACTACTGAATACCTATTCATAAAGAGCAAATGATAGTCCCTGCTCTTAGAAACAGAAATAAAATATATTATTTTTTTTTCGTGTGTGAAAAGACCACAGTGGTGGAGAATCCCACAGGGTAATAAAAGAAATAGTAGAAAAGTATATATAAAAATTCAGAAGAGTTAATTTTGAGATTTGGGGAAAAGATCCACATAGATAGACACATAGATATCTATTTAAATAAAGATAGTATGACCTTTATGAACATAAAAAACATTCTTTTTCCTTCCTCCATTAAAAAAAAAGACTCTTGCCTTTACTTTTCCTATGTTTTTACTTGAAACTGGGTTAATAAAGTGGTTTTCTATCAGCACAAAAATGTGCACATACCACAAATTCAGTTTTTCCTATATGTTCTATTCAGTCTGTTAAATCATGAGAAGCAGAACATTCATTTAAAACAAAAACTTTTTTAACTAAAAATACTACAGAGCAATTAGAAGAAATGTTGAAATGTTGCCTCAATCATCATGAAAGCTTATTTTGAGTTCTGTAGCTATTCGATAATTATGTTTCTAGTACATTTAGTATTAAATTATATTACACTATGACCTTTAAAAGTGAGAAGTTAGGAGTAAAATTAAAACAAAGCATGAATTCAGGTGCTAGAAAGAAAATTCAGAAAAAAAAAATTGATAATTTTTAAAAGGACATACTTAACCCAGACCATTCATCATCGATATAGGGTTGATTACGGCTAACATCCCACTGATAATCAGAAGTGGTAGACTGAGAAACTGGCTCAGCTGTAGACCCTTAAATGAAAAATGAATGCAATAAAATTAAAAAAGGAATTTCCTAATGATGGTTTATAACAAATTTTTATACTTTCCACATGGAGACTTTACTTTTTAAATTTCTCCTGAAAGAAAAAATTCAGACATTAGAAAAAGAGTTAAATTAAAAGAAAAAGTAGAATTGAGGGTAATTTTAGATTAAGTATAATAATCATTTGATCTTATTAATCAGAAATATATTTTCCCTAGTATCAGTTCATTAGATTTTGTCTTTTATAATATACACTTCAAACTACTTATCTATAAGTTTTAAGAAGTCAGTTTTCTTTTTTTGTTTAATGAAAAATTATAGAACACAAAAGAAATCTCTATCACTCATCATTCTAGTCCTGGATGTTTCAGGGTATGCCTATAACTAGAAAATATCTGAGTTAGCTAGATATTTCCTTCTGGCTAAGGAAAGCAACATAAATTAGGTGATTATCTAGAAAGGTGGGCAGAGAGAAGCCAGAGACAAGCGCTGCTGGAGGTTTAGAGACAAGTTAAGTGCAGGTGCATTTAAAGAAAATAGAATGCTGCCTTTCAAGTTTTGTTTATTTACTTATTTTTTGAGGAGGGGGAGTATTTGGGGAAAGATTAGGGATTACACAAGTCCTTTATGAATCTGATAAAGATGTGATGGCCAACTATCTAGAAATTAACAAAAAATTTGCAAATATTCTTTCAGGGCCATACAAATTCATGGGCACCACCTCTAAAACCCTTACTCTATCACCGTACATTCATTTCAGAATGGAAATGTAGAGCATTGGTTCTCCATTCCACTTATAGCCCAAGCATTCTAAATTAGAATCTCTGTGTCTATCAGAGTCCTTAAGTGACTCTGATAATCACTTTGAATTCACAGTCACTGAATTGGTTATAAGGAAATGATATCTGATTTGTATAAAAGACTTCCATCTACCATTTCTTCTCATTAGAATCCTCATTAATTCATATTTTTCTACTTGGTTATTATTAATGATCACACTAGCATTCCACTATTATAACTCTGCCTTATATATACCCAAAATAGTTATACATTTTTCATGTAGATTTTAAACAGAACCCTATAAAACTTATAATAATTAGCATTTTAGCTCCTGAGGAGCACTAGTATATAATGCTGCTTTTTACTATTCTTTCGTAGCCCCTGTTGCTTTCTTTAACTACATGAAGAGAATAGCATCTGTGTTGCACAAAGTCACAAGTGAGGAAAGCAATTAATCTGGATCTTTGGAACTGAGACACAGTCTATGAGATCAGGCTTTGGCAAACTATGATCTGCAGGCCAAATCCAACCATTTCATTTCTGTATGGCTCATGAGCCAACAACAGTTTTTACACTTTTAAATGGTTGGAAAAAAATTAAAAAGAGTAGTATTTCAGAACCAGCCCCAATTATTTGTTTATGTATCATACTTAGCTGCTTTCCTTGTACAATGAGAGTTGTGTAGCTACAACAGACAGTATGTCCCACGTGGCTGAAAATATTTACCATCTGGCTCTTTAAAGAAAGCTTACTGACTTCTAGTCCAGGCTAGTGATTCCAGACATGGTTGAAATACAGAAGTAGTTAACTGGGTCCATGAATTCCAGTGTGGAGCACTGTAAGCTAACAATGTCTCCCATATTTATGTAATATTTGTTAAATACATATACCAGGGGTCTTCAATACAGTCACGGGAAGTCAGTTTAAATTTTTTTTTTTCACCAAATCACAAGCTTATGAATCAGTTCTATTTTTCCATGAACTTTCTGGAGTACCCTTATGGCTTCTATACGTTTACTAAAAGGCATATCCATTTATGTAATGGTGAACTGACAGTAGTTTATAGGTAACAGTGTGTTTTCTAAATCAAGACAAGGTGGAGTTATTATATACAGGTTCAAAAAACCTGAAAGGTTTAGCTATAAAACTTAAGGTGAATAAGGGTGAATAGAAATAAAATGCCAGATTTCAACTAGTAAGTATGCCTGGAGCATATGAGGAATAGAAGAGTACAACTCTGTAAGAAAGGCTGCCCATGAGTTATTGTGTGCCAATGCATTCCTCACTCTTCTACAAGCATTTAGGTCTTCTTTCTTTTTGTAAAAGGCCTCTGTTACTCTTTTATTTATATTGATAGCAGTATTTGATTCTGATTCTGTTTTTCAAATAACAAGTGCTAAAATTAATTTAAACATAAATTTTTTTGTTAACTAAATGAAAGACTGTTTTCACATACCAGAAACAGCAGAGTTAAGTGTGAGAGATGCAAAAGAAGCAGAATTCTGTTCAGAGGTATTCATTCCCCTATCCACACTAGACCAAGCAGCTGTTAAAATAAAGAACGTCACTTGGAACCTTCAACTTGCAATGAAACTTGAAAGATATGTACAGAGTTAAACTACGATAACAAATTTAAAGAAAAATTTAGAAATTAGAACCATAATACCAAAAGCTACTACTTATTCAATGTCTATTATTATTGAGCCTCTTACACCAACCACTTCTAATCCTTACAGCAACTCTGCTAGGCACTTTCAGCACATAAGTGACTTGCTCAAAGCTAGAAAACAGCTGAGCCATGATTGGAACTCAATTCATTTTCTAAAATCTATACTATTTTCATTTCACCAAAGTACTAGATATAATCATTTTGGGCCAGGCATTGAACTTGGTACTAGACATTCTTCATAATCAATCCTCACGACTTAAATATGAGGTACATACAAGTAACTAGCTTAATGTCCATAGAAGACAGCAAAAATACAAAAACAGGGATTTATAACTAGTAGATCTGTATGAACTAGTTCATATTCATCTTTTCTGTTTTCTTTTCTCAATCTTTTCTTAATATTTCTCATCTTTTCTCAATATTTTCAAGAAATTTCTTTCTTATATATGAATACAGCTGTGCGCTGAATGACATTTGGTCAATGGCAGACTACATATACACCTGTGTTCCCATAAGATTCTATCACCAGTGACATTGTAGTCATGTTAGTTGGTGTAAGTATACTCTATGATGCTCACACCATGATAAAATCACCTAATGACATGTATCTCAATTTTCTGCAATACTAAGTGATACACAGCTGTATTTTAAGGAAAATGCAACTCCATGAAACCAGTCACACCTGTCCCTTCTGAATGATTCATTACAAGCTTAATTTAACATATACTTAATATATTCTCTTTCAATTTCAACAAAGTTCCTAATCCACATAGGCAGGAACTCTAATTTGCAGCTTAATTTTATCTGTAGCAATTATAAACAAGTACCATATAATCTATGTCCTAATCATGAAATGCTACAGAGCTTTCATAAGTAAATTGCAGATACTGCAAAAGATTATAGTTCTTAACGTTACTCCATAAAACTGCACTATTTACTTAATTAAATATGACAGAATGTTTCACTGCATAGAAATGTGTGTTTTCTTCTCTGCTGAAAATGAGGACAAGAATTTAGGGAGTGTCTTTCCAAAAAAGTTTTGATATTTCTACATAAAAATTGATTATGAAATGAGGAGGCGAAAGCAAACTTAAGAACAATATTAATAAACTGGAGTTTGCGTCATGAGGGTGTTAGCTTTTTTCTAAAAAAAAAAAAAAAAAAAGACAGAAGAAGCTAATAGCAAAGGAAGATATTTTTTCTATTTAAAAACACTACAATTTCTATCGCCCATTGCTCCCCCAAATTAAACAAAAATATCTGCAAAAGGTACAATAGAAAAAACTGTTATGTTTAATGCACAATTTGATTATATAAAAAAAACCAAGACAATAAAAGGCCATTAGATAAATGGCAAAGAACATGAATACACAATTCATAAAACAAATAGGGGCTGTTGTGGTACAGCAGGTAAAGCCACCGCCTACGATGTACAATGCTGGCATCCCACACAGGCCCTGGCTAGAGTCCCACCTGCTCCACTTCCAATCCAGCCCCCGGCCAAGGGGCTGGGAAAAGCAGTGGAAGATGAAGATGGCCCAACTGCTTGAGCCCTACCACCCACATGGAGACCAGGAAGAAGTTCCTGGCTTTGGCCTGGCCCAGCGCCAGCTGTTGCAGCCATCAGGGGAGTGAACCAGTGGATTGAAGATCTAACTCAAAAAAAAAAAAAAAAAAAAATCAAGAAAGTTGTAGAAAAATATCCAACTCGTTAGTGCTTTTAAAAAGTTAACCAAAATACAAAATAATGTATGTGTTTTTGTTTAACTAACTGCAAAAGATTTTTTAAAAAAGTAAGAAACCTCCTCTTTGGTAAGCTTATGATAAATGGGCCCTTATACTAATGTTGAGAGCCTAAGTCAGAACAATTCTCGTAGAAAACACTTTGACAGTAAAGAGCAGAGCAATAAAAACATTCATAGTCCCTTTACCCCAGTATTACAATCCCAAGGATCTATCCTAAAGAAATAACCCAAAACCAAACATATTTAACACAACCTTATTTACAATGGTTTAAAAAAATGATTTATCCAGGGTGGGTGCCGTGTGGTGCAGAGGGTTAAGCGTCTGCAGTGCTGGCATCCAATATGGGAGCCAGTTCGAGCCCTGGCTGCTCCACTTCTGATCTGCTCCCTGCTAATGTGCCTGAGAAAGCAGCAGAGGATGGCTCAAGTGCTTGTGCCCCTGCACGCACATGGGAGATCCAGATGAAGCTCCTGGCTCTTGGCTCAGCCCAGGCTGTGGCAGATTTAGGGAATGAACCAGTGGATGGAAGATCTCCCTCTCTGTCTCCACCTCTTTTTCTGTAACTCTGCCTATCAAATAAATAAATAAATCTTTATAAAAATTATATATCCAATTATATGGGACTGGTTACGTAAATTATGCTATGCTTATACAATACTCATATAGCCATTAAATAAAAAGAGTAAGAAAAATGCTTATGTTACAATGTGTCTTAAGTGTTTGTGTGAGGGGCATAAAAATGCAAATCTTCTTTGGGTTATGCAAATAACAAAAAAACCAAACCTGTACATGGGGGAAAGGAGAGGAGATCATAAAGAAAATACAAAAACTAAAGTGATTATCACTGGGTGTTGGTGTAAGATCAAGGGGTTTTTCCTCTTCTTTTTTCAGTTTTCTGATACTTATCACAGATTTCTTTTCTATAATACACACTTAAAGATTAAGATGCTTTTAACTTGACGGTTCACAACAGAAATAAGCTTCTCAACTTTTGAGTCTTTACCATTAAAATCCAGGCGAAAATTTAATTACAAATAGGCATTTTGTAGATTGTAAAATAGTCTATAAATAGATGCTATAAACTTAAACAGACTCGACAGAGCTGTTGTAATTAATCTTAAAGTAGGCTCATGTATTACATTTATCACATCACAACCATACCAGTTTGTTACACTGATAATCAAATGTGATAAAGTATATGGAAGCACTAGATATATAGAATAAGCAATAAATATCATGATTCACTTATTTAGTTACCACTTTGCTCCATGCAAAGGATCTCTGATGATCTCATTATTACTATTATATCTTCATGGCATTACTAACTTTTCTATTCATGGATTTATTTTTTCATTCCTGGAATATTCAAAATGTACCAGAACAGCAATTTTAAATGAACTTAAAAAAATTTTTTTAACAGTTCTTACCAATGCCAGAAAATATTGAACGGTCACTCCAATTCCTTCCCCAGTCTTTTCCATTTGCATTAACATCTCCAGTGTCCTGACTCCAAGCAGATGGCTCAGTTTTCCTCTTGCCTGCAGTAGTAGGTGAAATAGAATTCCACTTCTCCTCACCTGCACTGATCTGTGAGGAGAGTTTTATAGATTTTTCATTCCAGCCTCCTCCATTGACAGTGAGGTTTTCATTTAATCCTGAAGAAACTTAAAGAAAAGAAAATAAAGATTAAAACCAGGTACATGACATCGTATTAAAACTGGGATGTTTTCAAACTTCTATAATTGCTCAGTTTATATTTCTCACTCATTGCTCCCCCCACTGTCCTTTAAGTATTTAAGAATTTTAAAGTAACATGATCACCATTAATGTCTTTTAATTTAAAAATTAAAGAAGGTTTGAATGTGAGACATACACTAGTGATGTTTCAACAGCAGAATGACTTGCTCAAAGGAAGTACAACAGAGCAAACAGGAAAATGATACATATTCTGGTATACTCAATATACTCACCCACTATAAATATGAAGACCTCTATTTAGTTAGATGTTCTTTCCTTAAAGATTTATACATTATAATATGTATAAAGCGGTGGTTCTAAAACTTGGCTGCACTTTATAAAAATCAGCTGAGAAATTTCTTAAAAAAATAGACTGAATTGCCTTGGCTTAGAATCAATTAAAATCAGACTCTCTTGGGTTGGAGTCCAGGTCTCATATGTGTAAATGTATATGTACACACGACATACGTGTGATTGTATTGTTTTAACACTTTTTTTATGATAACAATGTAGAGCCAGGATTGAGAACCAAGGCTTCATGCTTTCATTGCAAGCCTGAAATGAGAAGGTGCTTTTTTCATTTCTGAATTTATGTTTCATAACATACTTATTTTCTAGCCAGACATACCACTCTACTTAATTTAATCATTTCATGAATGAGTGAATAAAATTTACTTTCTATTTGTGAAGAACTGGATAACATTAGACTATAGTTCATTTATTGTGAAATATTCGATGCTGTCAAGGAGTGAATTTTAAAAATTATACAAACTAAGGCTTTTTTCTTAATATACAGGGGGAAATTCTTTTATCCCATATATGCCTATATTAAACCCATGTCCAACAAAGATCCTTCTCAATTGGCTTAAGTGATGCAAATAAGAATCAAAGTTGCATATTGCTTTCATATATGGGGGAAAAAAACTAGAACATACCAAAGACTGTTAGAAGTGAGAGTGATTTTTCTTTTTATCTATTTTCCAAAATCTCTGGTCTGTGATTATGTTACTTTAGTAATTAAAAATCATTTTTAAAGCCTTTTTCTTTCCTTCTGCGTCATTCATGTGAGGAAAGAGACATGTATGTAAGTTTCTATTCTGATGGGCCTTCAATTTAAGTTACATGTAATTTCTCTCACCCTGAAGTGTGGAATCTCCTTTTCCAGACTTAAAGTTGCTAACTTGAACATTTAGATGAGAATCACCTGGTTGAAATAGAAATAAAATTTATTTAATACTAAATAGGCCAGTACGCACATTAAATTAGGAGTAACATACAAATTGATTTTTACTTATTATCTTTCACAAATCGCTCCTTTAACTGCTAAATTCTTACACTGGAGAAAGTCAATTTTACAACACATTTCACATGTCCATGAGGAACTGAGTTACCATCCTCCTAGTCAACTAAAATGCCAATTAAGGACCTGGAAAACTGCCCAAGTATAAATGGAATTTGCTATTCTATAATGGTTATCGAGATTCTGTTAAGTAGGAACTGGAGAATTGGGCTCTGTAATTGGATTCAACTTTGCCACCTCTAGCAACACCAGCTGCCTTTTTCAACAGTCCTGGAAGCAAACACATCAACTTCAGAACTTTGCCAGTATTTGGGACCAGGACTTAGGAAATATGGCAAGAGGTGAGACTACATGTTGTAACACAAAAATACTATTTCTCTTACACTAAAAAGCATAAATGATCACAATGTTTCAAAAAACCAGCATGACATAGGATTGTGCTAGCAAGGAAGGCATGCACAAGACAGTGAAAAAGAGTCACCAACAAAAATACTAAAGCATAGCTAACATGTGACAGTGAAAATGAATAAGTAGAAGTCACTGATATACCATGGCAATAAATTCCAAGTTATCAAGCAAAAAAGTAAAAAGTAACAAGGCTAAGAAAGTGGTTTTGAAATAACTGAAAGATGAGGAGGTGGGAAGGTCATTAGCAAAAAGAGGAAGGAAGAAAAGCCAATTTCTTGAAGCAAATTGAGCAGTATCACTTTGCAGACCGCTATCTCCAGGGTAAAAATGATGGCATTGGAAAGAGCTAGCAAGAAGCCATCAGCAATGGGGTGTGTGAAGATCTGAAACTTGGGAGGAAGAACACTGACTGACTAAATAACCTTTGAAGTTCTGGTCTAGCATTATCAAACACCTATGGCACTTTTAGAAACCTGGGGTGATAAGTAGTCCAGACAGAACCTGCACTAACTAGAACATGCTTGTTTCATCTTGGAATGAAAATGCTCAACATGCAGAATGGTGATAAATAATTCCACTTAATAAATGTCCTATCCACGGTAACAAATGGAGATGCAAAAGAGTTGGGGCAAAGCAATACACACAAAGAAAAGAAGCAACATCATTTTCTTATGTGACTCAAGGCAGAAAGGCAAACTTCGATTTAATAGGCCATTCATTAGGCAATATGTAAGAAGTAACGCTGCTGGTGCTAGGTAAATTCACACATGGTTCACAATATTCTCATGAAGAAGGGTATATCAGCACAATGGTGTTAGCAGTTCAAAACAGTCAGATTCTGACATAGTGATATGTTGTACATCTGATTAAAAGGAGTTTGATTTGATGTACCACTTTTTTATGTTCCACTAATATACCTTTATTCTTCTTGGAACCAACAGGAAATGATGCAGTTGTAAGTTGCTCGGTGGGAACTGTGATGATATTTTCTATCCCAGGGATAGTTGAATCCAATGAACCAGAATCAGTCAGCACTTTATCACGTTTACGCTGCTGTCGTTTCTCTCTGTGACTAATTTTAGTTTCCCAGGCTCCTAACATAGCCCCAGAAAAAAAATGTTATTCAGTAAGGGCAAGACAAAAAAGTTGTAGTTTTTTTGGGGAAACGGGATGGGCATACAAAATATCATGATAAATTTAGGTATTAAGCTAAAACCCAAGAGTGCTGATTGTATTAATTTATACTATGAATCTATTCTAATCTTGTGTTATTTTAGGCAACAAACTGCTACTATTTATGCTGTTTTTTTTTAATCAAATCTGTCATCTATGGTTTAGAAAAAGCAATAAAGAATCTTGTATATCCTTTTATTTTGCTGGGTAGAGGTGATGAGAGAGTGTTATATAAAACCACTGAAAAAAGGTGTAAGTGATGATAATAAATGGCTTACTCAAGAATTTTGTACACAGCATTCCAGGATGATATATTTAACAGGGAGAAAAAAAAAAAAAACGCAAAAAAACAAAAACCAAAAACCAAAACAAAAAAACCAAACCCACACCACACCTCTAGGAAACAAAGACAAGATGAATGGCTTTTCAGTTGCTCAAAATACTGAGCTTAAACCTTACATTTCAAGGCAGTTTCTTCAAGGAAAGCACAACCAGGTTCTTAATTTAAACAAAATTTTAAAATAACATCATAGATTTGCTTATGAAAATCTGTAATAATTAAAAAGAGCTAGGTATATAAAGTAAAACAAATGCAGCTTTTATATAATACACCTTGGTAAAAAGGATTAAAAGGTTTCTACAGTCCTTTCCCTTGCTTAAGTACCTTCATCAACTTCCTTTCCATCATGGCGAGAACTGTTTTGCACTGCTTTAGCATCTGACTTTGATTTCTTCTTATTTTTCTTTGACTGAAAGTAAAATAAAATGTTACTTAACATTTGGTATATTTTCAGAAAAATAGGAGTCAGTAAAATACATAATGAAATGTATGATGCTGACAAATGAAAAATTTAATGCTTGATTTTTAAAACATATTAAGTGGCAATAATATGAGGTTACATTTACTAAATGGTACTTTATATTTAGTGTCTTAAGTTTTCCTAGGGGGCAAGAAAAACATCACCCTGGAGATGAGCAAACAGAGACTTAGAGATATTAAGTAGGCTGTACGGAGTCATATTTAGCATTTTCTTTTTCTTTTTTTTTAATAATCAGAACTGTTTAAAATTTGAACAGGGGAAAGACAGGAGTGTGGGGGAGAAGGAGAGAGAGAGGGAGAGAGAAACTCATCCATCTGCTGGTTCATTCCTCAAATGGTCACAACAGTCTGGACTGGGCCAAACCAAAGTCAGAAGCCAGGAACTCCATTCAGGTCTCCCACATGAGTGAGAAGGACTCAAGTACTAGAGCCATTATCCACTGCCTAGCAGGTACATTAACAGGAAACTGAATTGGAAACAGAGCAGCTGGGATTCAAACCAGCACTCTGATCTGGGATGTGGGTATCCAAAACAATGCCCAGCCGAAGTCAATAAATTAAGTTGCAATTAGGAACTAGGCCTTGTTTGGCTCCAAAGTTTATGCTTTTAGACATCATATCTTAACTTATATTATAAATAAGGTATACTATAATACAAACCAATAAAACTAAAATCTATTTCCAGTGTTCAGAAAGAAAGTGTCATATATTTGTTTTCGAACCATATAAAACAAATTGTTGATATGCTCCATGGATAACAATGAGAGTCAAATTAATGTAAGAAATATTTTAACAATTTCAAAGCAATGTGAAAATATATATGATCAGATGTTTTAACATAAATATTATATTCTCTTTTCAAAAATTTGCTAAAAGTTCTATAAAGCCATGATTTCTATATTTAGGTAAGTGTTCCCAGAAAATAATCAACATTTATAAAAATTCTTTTTACTTAATACTTTGTATTCACTCATAGCTACTTACTGAGAATGTTAAGTTTACAACTAAATAAGGTTTTATATCTCAGCCTTTTGTATGAGCAAAGCAATAAATGACAGCTAATTTTTTCCTATCAACAACTTGCAAATACAGTTAGCCTCTGAATCTGCTGGGGGTTCTGCATCCTCAGATTCAACTAACCAATGACTGAAAATATCTGAGGGGAAAAAAATTGTCCATACTATGTATTTGTAAACTTTTCTGTGGGTCATTATTTCCTAAGTGATACAGTAGAACTATTTGTATTGTATTAGGTATTATAAGTAATGGAGAGATGACTTAAAGTATATGGGAGGTCATGGTAGAAGGTGAGATTCAAATACTATGCCAATTTATATAAGGGAGTCGAGCATTCTCGATTTTGGTTTCAGAGTAATGCCCTGGAACCAATTCCCCACTGACACTGAGGATGACTGTATTCTCAAGTGGCATGATTTCTTAAAGGTGACTGTCTCTCAATGGAATATATATTAGAAAAAACTATTTCTTTTACTGTTCTCATAATTGACTTGCATTTGTTTCTTTGCATGTTCTCATTATCATTAGCTTGTAGCATGTTTAAGGCACTGCTTTATTTATTTATTTTTTTTTTGACAGGCAGAGTGGACAGTGAGAGAGAGAGAGAGAGAGAGAAAGGTCTTCCTTTGCCGCTGGTTCACCCTTCAATGGCCGCCGCTGCAGCCGGCGCACCGCGCTGATCCTGGCAGGAGCCAGGAGCCAGGTGCTTCTCCTGGTCTCCCATGGGGTGCAGGGCCCAAGCACCTGGGCCATCCTCCACTGCACTCCCTGGCCATAGCAGAGAGCTGGCCTGGAAGAGGGGCAACCGGGACAGAATCCGGCGCCCCAACCGGGACTAGAACCCGGTGTGCCGGCGCCGCAAGGTGGAGGATTAGCCTATTGAGCCACGGCGCCGGCTAAGGCACTGCTTTATTATATCTAATGAACCAGGTTCATAACCACTCTAACATTTTTTAGATTTTTTAAAAATTTATTTTGTTGATTTGAAAGGCAGAGTCAGAGAGAGAGAGAGAGAGAGAGAGAGAGAGAAATAGAGAGAGATCTTCCATACATTGCTTCACTTCCCAAATGGCTGCAATGGCCAGAGCTGAGTCTATCAAAGCCAGGAGCCAGGAGCTTCTTTCAGGCCTTCCACGTGGGTTCAGGGGGCCAAACACTTGGGCCATCTTCTACTGCTTTCCCTAGTGTATTAGCAGAGACCTGGATCTGAAGTGGAGCAACTGGGACCTGAACTCAGTGCCCATATGGGATGCTGGTGTTGCAGGTGGAGGCTTAACCTGCTATGCCAACACTGGTCCCCATACCCACTTAAAAAAAAATTATTTATTTGAAAGGCAGAGCTACAGAGAGGCAGAGGCAATGGTTGGAGCTAAGCCCATTTGAAGCCAGGGGCCAGGAGTGTTTTCCGGGTCTCCCATGCGGGTGCAGGGGCCCAAGGAATTGAGCCATCTTCTACTGCTTTCCCAGGTCACAGCAGAGAGCTGGATCAGGAGTGGAGCAGCCAGGTCTTGAGCCAGTGCACATATGGGATGCTGGCACTGCAGGCGGCAGCTTTACCTGCTGCCAACAGCACTGGCCCCACCCATACCCATTTAAAAAAAATTGAGATATTTTCCATATATTATAATATTCATACTTTTAAAAGTATATATAATTCAGGCTTTTAAGTATCTGAGGTTGCACAGCTAATCACCATTATTGTCTTTACTCTCAAAAAGAAACTCTGTAACCATTACCACTCATTCCCCATCCCTCCGGCAACCACAAATCTACTTCTGTGTCTCTATCATAACTACTCAGAACACCTGTTAATTCCAGTCTAGATCAGGGGCAGCAAGCCTTTTCTTTAAAGAACCAAATAGGAACCATTTTAGACTTTGCAGGCCATCTTTTTTTTTTTTTTTTCCCGCCCCCCCAAGATTTATCTATCTATCTTAGAGAGGAGATAGAAGGAGAGACAGATCTTGCATCTACTGGTTCACTCTCCTAATACTTGCTACAGCCAGGTCTGGACTGTCTAAGAGACAAGAGACAGAAAGGGAGAGACACATCTTCCATCTGCTGGTTCACTCTCCTGATACCTGCTAGAGCCAGGTCTGGTCAAGACAGAAGTCAGGAGCCAGGAACTCCATCCGGGTCTCTCTCATGTGTGTGACAAGAATCCAAGTACTTGGGTCATCATGTGGCTTCCCAGGTGCATCAGCAGGAAGCTGAATCAGAAGTGGAGTAGCTGTGTGTGGTTGTACTATTATTTGCCCCAGCCATCTGATTGCATTGAATGTCTTATTTCTAAGTGGCTCCACTTCTACTAAGGCTATTTAAGGAAACATGGAGGTGGGGTAGATTATCACTAGCCTTCTTTGTGATGATCTTCATGCAAACAAGATTTATAAAATAGCTACTATGTGTCACACATTGTCTTAGGAGATATATAAACAGAATTGAGTAAAAGTCTACTAACAACTGTGCTATAATTAATAGAAGAAATGAAAATCAGATATCAGGAGAAATTCTTATCTTTAAGGCCTTCCTTTCAAATACTTATCTCCCAACATATCTATACTAGTCCAATTAATTTTCATTCTCACTAAAAAAAACCCATAGATATTTCCTACTACCTACAGACACTAACTTCATTATGACACACAAGGTCTTCCACAAACTGATCTCCACCTTATATTCTTTTATTTACACATACAACCATTTGGCTCCTACAAGACTGATACCTCTCCGTACATTCCTATCTTTGCCCAAGCTATGCTGACTGTAGATTTTCTCTTCAGAACAAAGTGCAGCAGCCAGCGTATAGGGTGTTTTTCTTTTCTTTTCTTTTCTTTTCTTTTCTTTTCTTTTCTTTTCTTTTCTTTCTTTCTTTTTTTTTTTTTTTTGGACAGGCAGAGTTAGACAGAGAGAAAGGTCTTCCATCCATTGGTTCACCCCCCAAATGGCCACTAGGGCAGGCGTGCCGCGCCGATCTGAAGCCAGGAGCCAGGTGCTTCCTCCTGGTCTCCCACGTGGGTGGAGGGCCCCAAGCACTTGGGGCATCCTCCACTGCCCTCCTGGGCCACAGCAGAGAGCTGGACTGGAAGAGGAGCAACCGGGACAGAACTGGAGTCCAAATAGGGTGTTTTTCTTAGTACCTTGAATCATCTGCTTTCCTATGATGAATGCATGAAATGACCTGTACCCATTTTTCTAACCCAATTCAAGTTCCACTCCATCTGCTTTATTTCTGTCATTTGGACCCATTCTTTTCCCATAAATACATATAATCTTGTATATCTAAACACTGAAAACTCATAATCTGACCATCTGTCACAGACTTCCTTATGACATTTCTAATAATAATATGAAGTTACTGAAAACAAGAGATTAAAAGATATTTCACTATATTCTCAATAGAATGCTTCATGAATGGAGTCTGTCTAGCAGGGTAAACAAACCCTAAACCAAAAACTTTGGTTCAAACAGTTATCACTGACTATATCACAAGTGTTCCTAAAAATCCTATTGGCTTCCTTTACAATTTCACATTGTCTTCTGATAATAGTTCCACTAGAAAAAATGTTTATCCACGTTGAGTATGTGTATACATTTATGTACATGTGTATGTATGTGAGACATCCTCCCCAACACTTCTGAGAGGAAGTAATTAAATGAACAATGAATACACACTTACACAATAGGTATTCAGTGTATTGGAACCTAAAATAATACTTGCAGTTGAACAAAAAATGGCCCTATTCTTTTAAATCTAAACAATGAAGAGGTCCCGATAGTCATTGGATTTACTATTACTATTTTCCAACACTGCTAAATAATAGATATAAGATAGACTGATAATTCCTTAGGAAATTATGATGAGTATGAAGTTTAGAAATTTTTTTTGAAAGATTTATTTATTTGAGAGGC